ATTGTAATTACTTTGATTTGTGTGAGCTCTGTGTGCCCAGAGCTATTGAGAGTCAGGTGGCATATAAGTTTAATAAATTATTCATTTCCTGGGCTAGTGCAACTAGACATTTGATGTTTATTGGAAGCCTGTTGAGTTTTGATGCTAAGTCTCATGGATATTTAATATTATTTAATAATATTCAATATTAATGCTAATATGCATTAATATTTATCAAAATTACTATATTTATATTAATATCAACTCATATTAATATGATTGATAGAGAGGTAGATACATAGATAGATACATAGATGAAACTATAATGTGTAATATTTAATATTTCATTTTAATTTTTTCAATGAAGGAAAAAAATACTTTAAACATAGGTAAGACAAAATCTGGAATAGTTACTTTAAATTAATTATTTGGTAATGTTACATTTAGGAATAAGATTTTCCTGGTTTGCAATGTATTTGAAGGTATAATTAGCTAATTTGGTCGTCCAGTTTTTAAAAATTATGTAGCATATATGTCTCTGTAAATTTTTCAAGTTAAAATGTCAAAGTTATTTTCAGTAATATTCCAAAATTGTGGAAACGGAGAGTTTTTCAAGTGTATTGGTTCTATCTTATATGGGGAATACTTAAGAAATTTATATTGAGAAATTGGAAAGTACTATTACTTGAATTATCAAAGATTGAACCCATTTTTGAAGAGGTTACATTTCCTAATGAAAAAAAAATACATCTGACTTTTGGAGACACTCTGCAATATTTTACATAAATATATATTTTAGTTTTATAAGTTTTAATTATATTATTAAATGTCAATGTTTTAATATTTTTAGTTTTTCTAGTTAATTTTTTTTATTTTTGTTCAGTTTAGTATTATACATTTCACAAGTAGTAGCAGTGGGTATTGTTTTCTTTCAATTTATCATTATATGCTTTCCTTTTGGTGCTTTCCTTTTAAAAATTGCAATACAATTATAATGTATTTAATAACTGCTTCAAAAATTAGAGAGCCAGTTTGGTCTAATGGTTAAGGCACCAGAGTTGGAATCAGTACACTGAGTTCTAATCCTGCTTCACACACGAACATTGGCTAAGTGACTTTGGGACAGACAATTTATCTCACCTCACATGGTTGTGAGGAAAATAGGAAGAGGAAACGGAAGCTCACACCTTGAGTTGTTTATTTAAATTAATACTGGTAGGGTAAAAAAAATATTTTTGTATTTTTAGTCACAGAATGAATTGAACCATCTACGGAGAGAGAGAAAAACCTCTTTTCTAACAAAGAATCATGCAGAAGAAGAAAGAAATAATGTATTGGCTGATTTCAGAAGAGCAGCATCAGAGAAAGAAGGACTCAGGGAGCAATTAAAGGTCAGTTTTTAATATTTGCTGTAGTTTTCAGTAATGAATTAATTTTTGTCCAGTTTTTTATTTAAAGTGACTATCTCCAGGGCCTGTAACACTTCAGACTATTACTGATAACACCATAAGGATTTCAAAAAGTGCATTTTGGATTTTCTTTCATAATCATTCTGTTAAGAGTATTGCTAAAACTAGTAATGAACAGTAATGTTAATTTAGCATAAATTATTAAAATGGCAAAAAATATGTTGTAATTTTGGTTTGGGGCTTTGTTAAATATTAGGCAACATTGGAATAAGAAATTTACAGCTGATTTACAGTAATTGTTGATATACAGTACATTGTCAACATTTGAGTTGAGAGTTGCTATGCAGAGTGAGATAAGTGGCATATAAATCAAATAAACATTTATTATAGATATTTATATATTTATTAAACAAAATAGATGCCATTTTCCTTCTGATATGCATTTACTGTTGGGTAATTTCATTGTAAAGAAAATTTAGGGTAATTTGGGATATTTCAATATTATTAATGAAAAGGCTCACTACTGATCTGTCTACTTTCTTTGGTTAGATCCTAAAGGAAGAATATGCTTTAGATAAATTAAAATTGGAACAGGACGTATCAAGATTGGAAAACACTGTTAAAAGAGTAAGTATTTTGCCCAAACATTCTGATTGGATTTGGAGCTGTAACTTTTTATGTAGTCACTATTTCATGATTATATGGAAAGAAAAAGGGAAAATATCATAGGGGCCACATATAATGGAATATGTAATGGAATAATTCTTGTTACTACAAGCCAATTTCACTGCCATTGATCCTTTCTATCATTTTAGTGGAAGATATCTTGAAAGGCTGCTTTATCTTGTGCTTATTAAAATACGTTAGGTTTAAAAATGTCACATAGGTTTGGAATTTCTTTTGCTCTGCAGTTGGAAACAGAACGTCTTGATCAAGTATCTTCAGTGTCATTGTTAAAAGACAAAATAAGCTCTTTGGAAGATGAGCTAAGCATGAAGACTCATCAGCTCTTAAATACTTCTGAAGATTCTGCACAGTGCAAGACAGAAATGACTTCACTAAAGTAAGCTCATCTGTGCATTTTATAATTAGTAAAGGCATATTTGTAATTTGTGTCATTCTATGATGCTGTGGCTTCAGTGACACGGCCCTAAAAAGAAGTCTCCGATTTGCATTTGCCTGATAATCAAACTGGAAGTAATAATATGGCTAATCTGATAATTGAGTAGTGTTGTGGCCCAGCAGGAGCCGTTGGAGCTGCTGATGGACTCTGATAGCGAGGAAACCTATGAGTCTGCTATGAAAGATGTGGAGGACCCTGGGCAGGGTTCCGACTCAGAGCAGGGACCAGAGAGGC